TTCATGAAGGAAGGTCAGTAAAGTCTGGTTAATCCAAGCCTTTCTTATTTCTAATTTATTTCCTAAAAGGGATGACTCTTGCCTTATCAAATAGGAAGACTCATAGGGAAAATCTCCGTGGCTTGCAGAAGGGAAAACAAATGGGAGATGCAAAGTGGGTATGTGTTTAAAGGAATTTTAATTATCAGAGCAGGTGGTATTTTTCAATTATTTTTTCTTTTTGATCACTGACATCAGTACTATTTGCATTTTAATTTTATTAAATGATGATGGGTGAAGAGATGAAAATTATACAGCAGGGGCAGTTTGTGTGCTTTAGCACTGTCCATTGGGAGAGCTGGTTCTGAAGCTCTCCTCTAGAAACGTGATCCTGAGGTTACACCAAGCTGCATCCTTTTAATAAGTGAGACACACTGATTCCCCTGTGGAGGAAGGAAGATATGTATGCAGGAGATGCCATGGCCTCCAAGCTGCTTGGCACACTGCAGTCTGCTGTTTCCTGAGCTGTGACTCTGATGGATGCACACATTGCCTTTGGATTTGTCCCTGATGTAATTTATGTGGCAACTGACTTGGCCTTTTTTTAACAAGTTGTTTACCTTGTGCGTTGCCGTTAAAAAATTAAAAAGCCTATTAGATAGTTTAAATAATCCAATTAGAAGAAACTAAAGGGCCAGAATTCTTTCTCATTCTAAAATAAAACACCAAACTAAAGCAAATTTTGACTTCCCAGCATTTCATCCTGACAAGGTTCTAGTACACAGTGACAAAATTTTCCATTCTCAATTATTAAAATGCAGTTAAGCAGCAATTCACAAGCATTACAGAACACCATCTACTGCTAATAACTTGTTTATAAGAGAATGTGTTAAGGCTTCAAGGTTAATGGAAATGTAGCCAATAAATGCTGATTTATTTGATTGTATTTTTTAAGGCAGCACTGAAGCAGTTTTCTTATTGACATTGTTAGTGCAGCTGCCTCTGTTTTGATTTGGAGTTATTGTTCAGTGTAGCTGAGAGAGTGAACTGAGACACTGACAGTGTGGGAGCATGCTTAGAGACAGAGATATCAAGTGAGCTATTTGAGCTGCTCATCAATTGTTAATTGTCTACTGATCCTTAAACCAGATACCTAAACTGAAAAGACCACTTTCAGCAACAGATGCAAATTATATGGATCCTGTAGGTGTGCAGGCCCTACAACATAAGTGGGGCGCTAAATATTTTATTATGTATTGTAGCTTTCATATCTGGGCAGTTCTAGTGTGGGCCTCCAAACCTAAAGTTGCTCTGAATTCATTTGTGATGAGAAGGTAACACCTGAACTGAAGCTGGATTAACAGCTGCATATTGGCTAGTTGTCCATAAATATATTTATTTGGATTTCCCATGCCAAATGCACTTCCTCTAGAGTAGGCCAGGAGTTGGAGACCTTATGTGTTTTCCATAAACTGGGATTTTTAGGTGCATCTTCAGCCATGTTACTATTAATGCCTCAAAGCAGCACAATGCAAGTGTTGCTCATGGTTACCAGTAATGTGGTTGAGGTGTTTTGGTGGAGCTATTTGAGTGAAACATGATACAGATGATGTATTTCATGTTTAAACTCCTTGGAACATCTACCTGTTTGCTTTCAGTGCTATGGGATAATGTGCTTGTGTTGTGAGTCTGCCGTGCCAAGTTGGAACAGTCCTTGATTTATGTCCCTATAAGCTCTCCACAGTTATTGTGTGTGCCAAAGGAGGGAAGCGCTGCTGGGAACAAGTTATGCGATTTTTAATTTTTTTGGTGACAGCATAGATAGTTTCCACAAAACAAGCCTGTGCCACTTTTTATATTAAGTAAAAAATGTACATATTTGTACATCAGATGTTTTTGACAGAACTGTGGCAGTTTGGGAGAAGAGTGGAAATGAAGAGAAGAGCAGCTTGAAGGCTATGATCTTTCAAGCCCCTCGAGTAGTCAGAATCAGTCTCAGACATCAGTGACTGGGCTCTTTTCTACCCTTGTACATAATTCTCTTGCTGCAAAGGCTGCTGGCCATTGGTGGAGTAAAGATATCAAAAGAAACATTACATTTTCCTTGTCCCTTCTTACAAATCAAAGACAAAACACCTGGCCCTGGAACATCATCTGTCCCACAGTAGTTAGTCTGTTGTATGAGCCCCTGGGAGCATGATGTTAGATCTGTCATCCTTGTGGATGCAGCAGTGCTTTTTGTCACAGCACAAGCTGCTCTGCCCTGGTGATCTGATGGAAAAGCTGTCTTTCTTCAAGGTACCTTAAAAGTCTATACAAATAAATAAGGAAGGACTGTGCCCCTGATTAGCAGTTTCATGGACAAAATAGCAACCTGACTGAAGTTGGACTGATTTTGTTGGTTTGGGCTTTTTTTTTGGAGTGAATTCTTGTCTTGATTTTTTTTGGAATCTGTGATTTGCAGTTTTTTGACTGTTTGGGGTCCTTTTTGAGAAGCCCTGGATTAAACGCTTGCAGTTCATCTCTCGCAGACCTTGTGATCTGCTTTTTTTGAGCTTTAGTTACAGGTGAGTTTGTTACTTTGAAAGTTAGGAGCTGATATCTATTAACTCCAGCCTTCTGTTAAGAACATTTTTCAGAACTTAGTACTCTTCTCTATCCAACATAGTATCAAAAATTCTATTATCTGCTTTTCTGTTACATAGATCTGTGTTTAACTGAAATCCAAAATCCTCTCTAATGTGTGATGTTTTTCAGTGCCCGAGATAGCAAATGCCAACTTCATCTTTGTATTCCACATTACCTTTTCCATTCCTGCGTAATGAATTCACCCATTTTTGTACTCTTTTTTGATCCAGTATATTCACAAGTTTCTTCTTGGAGACAAAACTCAAAATTATAATTAGGACCTTAATTTCTGTCCATTTATTTGAAGACAGAACATTTAGCTAGTAAGGGGTAGTTGCATTTCTGCTTCAGTTTGCATATTGTCTTACAGAATCAGCTGTATTTTAGCTTGGCTGAATAAATTTTTAAATCCTTTGAGTATAGCCCAAAACTCAGCCAAGATTTCCTCCTGGCTGTGGTGTCATTCATCTGATGGTGCTGAGGAGAGAGTGCAGAAACAGCACAAGCTACAGCTGTCCTGTTCCTGGTTAGCTGGCATTTCATGCACCCACAAAACTTCCCTGTGGGATACCCAGTCATGTCTTGGTGTGCTTTATCACCCAATATACTTGGCCACAACTTGGTGCTTTATGTCCCAAATGACACTTTTTTAATCAGCTGTTTCTGGTCGTGCATCTTGTCCTGGTTTATCACTCTGTAATCCCTGTGCTTAGTTACAAGCCTTTGCAACTCTTCTCTTTTCCAATGATGAATGGAGTGTTTTTGCTGCTTTATAGAATGTATAATATCAGGTAAGCCCTCCTTGTCTGACTCATTACCATTTGCATCTTGAGTCAAAGTGGGAGCTTCAATATCAAACTTATTTATCTGTACTGCAAGCAAGATGGACTGGGTATAGGATTCAGTATATTTGATTTTCTTGGGTTTCAGTGAAAAGTAGCAGTCAATGCCTACTATGTCCTTTCTTTAGTATCGGACTTCTAAACTCAGTCTTTGCAGGCTGCACTGTCCTTCTTTGATGTTTTTGCATTCTTTGTTCATTAGAATATTGAGTTTTTTGCCTCGCTGTAATAGGCAAATATTTCCTAGAAATTCAGATTTTTAAGTATGCAGAAATTTTTCACAAGCCTCAAACTGATGTCCCTGTGATTTGCAGTAGTTTCCTAAGAGCCCCTTAAAATACGGCTGTTGCTTGTTCTTATCAACAAAAGCTGGGGAGCTGGCACTTATCCCTCTTCAAAAGAAACAATCTGTTAATTGCCTTCCCTTCTCCTTTGATCTTCATGACCAGTTTTTCTTAACATTGCAGGACTTCTCTGAATTCTGAAATGAAAGGAGGTGTCTCATAATCGGTCTTAATGCTTTGTATAATTCTTGTTCCCCAAAGAAACCAGTTCATAGCTCAGCTGAGCAAATGTGTTTAAAAACACAATCTGGGTCATCTAAACAATAAAGCAGCTGGAAGTCAGCCTTTAGTTTTCCTTCAAAAACAAAATTTAGCAAGAAGCAGACCTCAGCCTGTGAATTTGGGTATGAGAGCTTTTTATCTCTCTTAATAGTATATCCTGTTCAGGTTGTACCCTCAGTAGAGAGGGTATGGGCTGTCCATGGGTTCCATTCAGATGCTGCTGACCTCCCTCATTGCTTTGGCAGTACAGATGAAGTCACAGAGTTGCTGACAGATGGATTTCCTATCACTCATCTGAGCTGAAGAGACACTGAACCAACAGAATCAACATCTCAATGCTACCAGGCTGCAAAAAGCTGCATCTTCCAGAATGACACCTTTGTCCTTCAGCGTTCATTCAAGGGCTTTTGGAAAACGGTAGCTGAGCATTAAAATAGCACAAAGATCCAAGCCCTCCACAGAAGGGGAAAAACAGATTGAACGTAAAATGATACAGCATTGTTTTCTTTTATTTTTTTCTTTTCCCTTTCAAACTTACCTTTCTTTTTTTAGTGACATGGCTGCATTGTTGTTTGTGTTGTATGCTCTGCTTGGTGTCGTTGTAAATAAAACTTAAAGCTATGTGTAAGCAGGTCCCTTCCCTATGGCAACTGCAGCAATACACAATCCAGTTCAGATGTCATTCATCACTGTAAATAAAAGCATGACAGCTTACATCTCAGAAACTGATCCTCTTAAATCCCTTTCTGGTGAGAGTCCGTTTAATTTCACCTACAGCTGTTTTCCAGAGGAGTTTGATTGAAAGCCTTTTCATTCGTAACTTGCTGCAAATCACACGTTACATATGTGGACTTAAGTACAGGAAGAAAAAGACAGAAGCTAACCAAGTATTTCATGGAAGCACTTTGTTGCAGGTGAAAGCAGTTCTGGGATTCAAGTTTTGCAATACAATGAGAGATAACACTGCTATGTAATGCTTCTTTAGGAACACAGTGCAAATTTGACAAGTAAACGTGTATTTTGGACAATTCCTGAGTGACAGGCAATGAATGTGCATAACAGTGGAGCAGAAGTGGATGGAACTTCATTTGTGTATGATGATCATCTGTCTCTCAGTAAGCTGTGGTGAGTAAGCACAATAGCAGTTCCTACTATTTGGGTACTGGTGAGGGAGAAGTAGCAATGACATTCTTGTGTGCTTGTGTTGTCTGTGTGCCTTGCGTATGAAAACAATGCCATAAAGAACCACTTGAGTTTGACTCAAATAGGGTTAGCAGTGTACTGTTTGTTATAAATGGGAAAAGGAGCACTGCTGAGGTCTGAAGCGGGGAATGCAGCACTGAAGATGAGTGAGGTGTGTACCTAACCCTGCAGATGGATGAACTTCTTGTGCTGTTCCCCTACACCAAGCATTTTCTTGTTAGATTTCAAAAAGTGCAATTCATCTCCAAAAAGAGTTCTTATAGTTCCTTTCTTTGCAGTCCTTGTAAGCACTAAAAGTTGTGGAGTATATAGGATACTGTAATTAAACTAAACTTGTGTATTGATGGTATTTACCTAAACAATTTGAAGTAGTTGGACATTTCCCATTCTAGTGTAATTGCTACATTCCCTCTGGTGTGAGCGCTAGCACAGCTTTGTGGCACTTAGGTAGCTTTTTTTTCCCCTATGGCAGTCTGCATTTGTTTGCTACTCTTTTCCTAATGGGATTCAGTCTGTCAATCAGGCTTGAAGCAGTGGAGTTGATGCAAGGAGGACAGAAGTGTTGTTATTTAGGCATCAGGTAACTCATAACACAAGTTATGAGTTACTTAAGTGCCTATTGCTGTAGTACACCCTTCTTTCTTGTGTATCCATGAGAGGCAGAGAAAATTGTGAACTAAGATTAAATTATTGCTTTATCCTTGTACTGTATTATGTTGCTAATAGGCATCAAGTTGTGAATGTAATGTGTGTGACTGAAGCCCAGTTTCTACCATAAAATGAGCCAATGGAACAGTTGAAGTACTGGCATTTCTTGCTGCTGTTCTGCTCTCTTAAGGTAACACATTTTAATATTCCTAGCCAATAGCTACATTTACTTTAATGGGTGAAGGTTAATTTTAGGCTGTATTTGAGTTCAAGGACTAGGTAATGCAAATTTTTTTTTTTATTTCTTAAAGAGCTCTGGGATTACCTTGAGGTTCCCCCCCCACACCCCTTATTTTATTACACTGTCTTGAGATATTTCTTTTGCTACATATCTACACATTCCTGTGCATCCCATAAGTAATTTTTACAGAACTCTAAGCCACTGCCACAGGGACCAGTGTGGTTTATGTGACTCGATTAATTGAAATTTTAAAATTCCTTTTTTTTTCCTGCACTGAGGCACAATAAGAGATTGGCTCTAGCAATTAGGCTACCAAGCTTCTATGGTTGTTTCTTACATTTTGTCTTGCTTGCTTACAAAAGATAGTTGGCACAGGTGAAGGTGCACAGCTGATGTTTTTTTTCCAGCTGTGAGTGCAGACAAAAAGCAGGTTTGAACTTGCAGTCAGTAGGCTTGGTGCTGCCATGTTATGGAGCCTTTGATACCTAGTAATAGGAAAAGAGAAGAATCAAGATGATGGTAACTTGCTAGTTCTGTTGGTAGGGAACTAGCAAGTTCCCTAGAATTGTGCTTTTTCTAATTTCTGTAGTATGATTCGGTGGTGTAGAAATGGGGTAACTCCAACTGATGATATAACTTTGGGGTGAATTAGTTCACCTCTTCTGGCTGGTTCCTTTGCTCTTACTAGGGTAAATTTTTCATAAAGTTTATAAACATTTGGTTTAAGATCAAATTGTATACTGGAGTAGGCTTTCTAGTGCTCTTTTGCCCTGGGAAATGCAAAAGACGCATGTATTATGTGACCTTTCGTTTCTGCTGTTTTCGTAATGCAAGTAAGACTTCAAGAGGCCAACAGGGGAAGGACAAAAGTAATTCAGCTTGGAGAATGAAAGGGGCTGTAGAGTTTAAAGATCACTGATGGATTTGATTTGACAGAGCAGGAAAATAAATTTGAAGCTGTGAGCCTCTAGAACCTGTTCTGAGTGTTGGAATGAGAGGGGAAAGAAAAGTGGTCACCACAGTGATGGTGAGCGGATGCTCTTAACCTGCTGACTGACTTCTGCTATGGCTGACAGAACAGTTCTCACTCACTTGCCATTGGAAGCAGCTTAGGGACACCTCCCTTTGGTCTCTTGAGCCCTACCTTGGACACACTTCCATATGGGGAGTCCTCTATGCCTGGGACAGAACTGCCAGGGACCCAGTGAGAGCAGCTGACTCAGGAAGTAGTTTTCATTACAAAATGGGATGAACATGAGACGAGGAATAGCGCTGGTAGGTAGGCAAAATACCAGCTGCTCCCATCTCAGGGCAGATGTTACCTGGCCAGGATGATGCCAAAGCAGCAGGGGAGCATAAACATTAAAAGGCTGATAGATTTTCTTATAAAGAAATGCTGAGCTGGTTGAAAGAGGAGTTAGAGGCACTTTGACAGACACTTGGCTTTACAGTTCATGGGGATCTGAGACTTTTTGTAATGAGAATTTCTGACTTCATAGGATGATGTCTGATCTTTAGATTCCAAGAGCACTTGTGCTGTGGATGTGGGCTGCTTTCAGACTAGCTCATGAGCTACAGCTTGCCTCTGGAGAGCAGAGGTGCTATGCTACTGCTATGGTTCTGGAATACAGGTGCATTTAAAAATCGTTCAGAAGGACGTTATCAAAGTGCTTGTATTCTGATGAATTTGTCTTTTCAAGTTCACACTAGCACAATCACAGTTTTAGAGAAAAAGAACCCGGTAACAAGATACATCAGGTATTGTTAAAAATGCACAAGCAGGAGGAATGCAAGAAATTATCTGTGAAATTACATCAAGTAAAGTGGGCAAGAATCAGGGTTGTTGGTGTTTTAGAGAATGAGGAGTGTGCATTTATTGTCGTTAAGGAGCAATGTAAAAAAGAAGTGTGTTTAAGGGTATTTTAGAATTCTTGATGGCTTTGGTGAATTTGGTCTGAAATCAAGCATGACATATGTGGTTATTGGCATCTGTGTTGTTATATGCACTGCAAACTTGTGATAGATAGGGGGTCTCCTCCATACCCTGCTGTTCTGTCCTGTCACTGGGCAGTGTTCTCTGGTGCTTGGCAGTTTATTTCCCAAAATAAATTCTCCAACTTGCAATTCTTCCCTCATACTTTAATGTGTCAGTTAGATTTATATTTTTCGGGATGTTCACCAAAGCGATGCCAGCTCCTATCTCTAACATCAGCACTGAGGAATGCACTTCTGGGTGCTGCTTTCAGTAGAACAGGAAATGTGAGTCTTTAACGAGAGGCAAAGCCTTCCAGCTCCGTGTCAGGTGGTTCTTCCTTCGCTTTGGGCTTCTGCCAGGATGTCTGCTTGATCACTTAGGTGAATACTGTAACTTAAGCTCCTTTTCAGTTCCATATCAGTCAAACATTAAATGTTTTGACTGTGTTTTTGCCTCCCCCGTGCTTGGCTGTTGAAAACTATTCTGTTGTGTTTTTCCTCTGCTGATTTATACTGTTCAGCACAAGTTGGTTTTCAGAAGAATTGTTTCATAAAATTGTTCTCTTAAGCCACTTCTAAGAAACTCTGTAATCCTTTATTGAAGACGTTACAGGTGTTTTGTGTAGTAAGAAAAATACTATAAGTGTATAAAAAACCCTAAATATTATGTCCCAAATAATGTTATCACAAATATACATAGGCATACATAAGTATTAATTACAGAAGAAAGTGGTAGTGCCATCTGTTATAACTGCTCTGCATTCTAAAATCCTGTCTTAGAGCACGTCATAGTATTTTCTCTCTTCAACTTGAATTGAGATTTTTTTCCATGCTTTTCTAGAATTGTAATGATATGATTGTGGCTATGATATGAAGGTCACTTGAAAAGAGGGATCAGGAAAAATACCCTACTTTGCCAAAGTGCAAGTATAAAATGTTGAGAATCAGTAAAGCTTTACTACTTCTATTCTGAAAGGCATGAATTTGGCATTTGATAGTGGAATAGTTTAATAAAAAAAAATATATATGTCCAACTTGACAGATTTTTGCCCTGTAGATATAGAAGTGCCCAGGCAGAGTCGCAAAGAGTGTGGCTGCTACATTCTGCCAGGACTGGGTGCTGTATTCACCACACCTAGGACTGCAGTCACTAAGACACCCTTTCCTGCAATTGGATCCCCTGATAGGCAGAGGTGATTGTGGCACTGATTGTTTGTGGAACAGAGATCCCCTGGAATCAGTTTCTGCCTGTAAATGAAGACTCTGCTGTGCCTTATGCATACGAGAGAACAAAATGAACTTCACTGCTCTATTATTCATCTTTGGCTTTGTAAGACACTCCTTTAACTGGTTTGTGGCAGTAATATATGTTTGCTCTCAGGCAGGTACCTGTTCTGCTCTCATTATATACTGAGGAAAGTGATTCCAAGAAAATGAGGGAGTTGGTGGGGAAAAAAAAAGCTGGAAGAGCTTATAGGGACTGTGGCATTTCCCTGCCATCGGTGTTGTTCCTTTTTTTACTGATGAATTGGCACAATCATCATCAGGAAACTAGTGCCAAAAGCTTTCTCTTCCAAATGGAGAAGCAAGAAGGCAATTATGGAGTGAGCCTGTCACAGGGATTTGTCACTGCTTCTGAGAAAGGGTTTTATTTCACAAGGTTTAACTAAGGAAAATATTCTCTGTAGGGTGTGTCACAGCATATAATGGATGACACTTGACAATTGTTCTTGCTGCTGCTGCCCTGCCTGCAGCTCTGGTGCTGTTCCCTACAGGCCTGTGTGCTGTGGTGTTCCAAATCCCAACTAATCCAATAACAAATCAAATTCCTGAATACACAAGGTTTAAGATTTGTGTTTTAACTACTGGGGGACTTTCTGTTCCAAAGTTGGTACACTGAACAGGAAGTCATCTCCTTGAAATGATGAGGATCCTCCAAACACTTCCCATCTAAGCACAGTAATTGTAACCCACCATGGTTTCACCAGACAAAACTCATAGGAATAATCAACTTGGAATGTTAGAAATTCCAAGTATAAAGAGTTTAAATGAAGTGCTGTATTTTTAACTGTGACTAAAGTTTACCACTGAAATACTACATGGAGTTTTTTTTTTTCCTGATGAGATTTGTGTTTGTGTCGATGTATAAGATACAAAAGTAGTGTGGTGTTCTTGTTAGAGATTTTATATAGCATTTGGGAGGTTATACTGCACCTTTGCTCCTGACCCATGAATGACAAGTAGGGACAGGAAGAATTGAAAATTAGACTAAGAATTATGTCCAGTAGACTCAGATGATAAGAATTAAGGAGCATTAAGGAGTTAGCCACGTCCACAACTTAGGTGTGCACTTAGCATAGAAAACTGGCTATGCTTATCTGGTGAGAAATTTCAGTGTAGGACACATGTCTTAAGTTACTTTGATTGAATTAAAGACAATTTTATTAAAAACAAGACAAAAAAATGGTGTAATGACTTGGGCAAATGCAAGAAATGCTGCAAGATATTCACAAGGAAATAAGAATGAAATCTGTAAGTCACAATAGTGGAGTGATGGATAAAGGTAGTGCAGGACACATCTTTACATTGACAATAACAGTGTTACCTTTATGAAGTCATCACCTGGAAATATATAGAAACAATTTTTTTTTTAAGCTACCAAAAGAATTGGAATTTTTCTTCTGAGCGCTATGTAGCTCTCTTGTGTCCCTGTATTACCACCCTCCGTGGTATTCTATTACACTATTGTATCCCGTTGAACTTGCTGGAATGCATTATGCAAATCTGTGACCGCTCCTTGCATATCAGCAAGAAAGATCTCGGAAGCGCAAGAGCTGCTGCTTAGCTACGACAGCAGTCAGAGCAGTCGAGCACTGCCACAGTCTGCCCCTTGAGAGCAGGGTATGGAGAACACAGGGGCTGGGCTGCTGGCCTACCCTTAGCAATGCAGAACAGCCCAAGCCTCTCATGGT